GTCCTCCTCGTTGCATCGTATCAGGAAGCACATGATGCGCGTGTGTGTTTCATTACTGGGTGCTGGTAACTTTGATCACGTGGTCGAGGTGATGACTGTCAAGTTTTTCCACTGTAAATTTACTATTTTCCTTTGTCGTTATTAACAAGTGTTTTGCGGGACAGATACTTTGAGACTTTGAGGTAGGGTTGCCAGATAAAATACAGGAAACCTAGTTTAATATATATTTTTTTTTTTAAAGATGACCGGTAAGGGGATCTTGACCCTTGGCTTGGTGTTGTCAGCACCACGCTCAGCCAGTGAGCCAACTGGCCATCCCTATGTAGGGATCCGAACCCGTGACCTTGGTGTTATCAGCACCACACTCTCCCAAGCGAGCCACGGGCTGGCCCAAACCCAGTTTAATTTGAATTCCAGATAAACAACAAATACTTTTTTTTTAGTGCAAATATGACCACCTAAAATTATTTATCTAAAATTCTAATTTAATTGGGCGTCTCGTGTTTTTATTTGCTACATCCAGCAACCCTATATGTAAAGATCTTGTGCCTCATTCAACTCTCACTCCGTTGTTTTGATAGCCATTGATGATTTTGAATCAATTTTTACTATGACGCTGCCAAATGGTAGGTAATTTTCTAACTCCATCATTCCTTCTACACTTACTTGTTGATATTCCATCTGGCGCACGGTAGGCGCTCGGATATTTGGTCAGTCAATGAATGAATGAACTCCCGCTCTGCTTGGCCAGGCTTCGGTGACACCAGCGGAGCCAGGCAGGGGGCTTGCCTTCCTCAGCCAATCGCGGCATGCGCCCGAGGCTTCCGATCTTTCCAGGGCCTCGCTGCCGGCTCTACCTGCTCCAATCATAAGCGGGGCTCTACCGGCCTTCGTTTACGTTTAATGAAAACAGGCGATTGGCTCTTCCGGCCCAGCAGTTCTAACAGACAGCCGGTGCAGTGGGCAAGGACCAATTGGTGCCGGCGGGAGGCGGGGCCTGCTGCGCGGCCTCGGTATAACTGCGCAGCCCGCGCGCCCGCTCTTCTCCCGGCGCGGACACCGGCGGGGCCATGGCTGTCACTTCCTTGTTGTCCGCGTTGGCCGCCCGGCTGTCTCTGCCCACGCAGGGCTGCCGCCTCCACCATCGCCCCTTCCACCTCGCGGCAGTTCGGTAAGTGGGTTGGAGGTCTTGATCAGCGCGGAAAATCGAGGGGAACGGAGGGCTGGGGGGGCCCGGGTCCCCGAGGGGCTCCGAGGGACGTGTTTCCTGAGCATCTTCGCCCCGGCGGTGGTGCCGCCGAGAGGGGTGTGATGGGGCGACGTGGCACCGAGCACGGCCGCAGCCCGCCACCGCTCGCCTGCTCGGCGGGACACCGCTACCAGGATGCTCGCTCGGGGCGGGTACCGGAGACCGCCTTTCGGAGGGAGCAGTCTCCCGCGGGCTCTGGGAGCCGCCGGGTCTCGGGCCAGCAGCGGGCGGGACGGGGCCGATGATGCGGAGCGAAGGCGCAGGCGGGCTGTGGGCGCCGCGATTTATGGGGGAGCACGTGGAGGTTACCGGCGGGAACCTGCCGGGCGCCCCTGGCTGTGAAGCCGAGGGGAGACCCTTTGGCAAGCGCCGGGAAGGGTTCAGAAAGAGCAGCCTTCAGCGAGCCTTCCATTGCCGGGACCCTAGCGGCGGAGAGGGTTGGTGCAGTCTGATGAAATCCCCGAGCCGGTTTGCTCGCGGGGTACCGCGCGGGCCCCGCCTCCGGGAGGTGGGCGTGGCCCTCGCTGCTCTTCCAGCGGCCCCCTCCACACCGAGGGAATGAATGTGCTGTGGTCACCAGGTCTGCGGCTGCAGCCCACCCGGAGCTTGGCGGTGACCGCTGGTCAGTGGCAGGCTGAGGACAGTGAGGTGATAAATCCCAGGAGGTTGCCAGGGCCTGGGGGAAGGCGCGATTGAGGGAGTTACTGTTTCATGGGTACAGAGTTTTAGTTTTACAAGATGAAGAGTTCTGGTAAGGGATGGTGGTGATGATTGCACAGCATTATGAATGTATTTAATACGTACTGAACTTTACACTTAAAAATGGTTAAGATGGTAAATTTTATGTTATGCATGTTTTACCACAATAAAAAAAATAGGAACAAAAATACCCTGGAGGAGGAAAGGGAAAGCTCTGTTTGCATTGCCTTAGGGAGGTAATTGGCTTTTCCCGATTTTTCTGGACCTCCAACTCCCATTCTTAAACCTAGGCGAAGAGTCTTCGGCGTGGGGGGAACGGGTTGTTATTTTTCTCTCCAAAACGTGCACCCTCTGTCTTGTCAATATCTAGAGCGTTTGCATTGCTAGGATCCTAGGCCTTGTAACTGCAGCCCTTTTTTCCAGCAAATGTTCACTGTGTACCAGACACAGCATTTGAGATAATAAAAACTCTTCTTTCCTTAATGGAACTCATGTACCTGGCAAGGGGCAGAACACAGTGTGTGATTTCCACTCAGTGTAAAAATGCTGTTCGAGTCATTTCCAAGGCGCTGCTTCTTGGAGGCTTTCATTAGTCTGACCCCGAACTGCCCTTCTAGCCCCGCCTTCATTACTGTCTGTTCTCTCACCTTTCCCCCTCCTTGGTCAGTGCGGGCCACCTGAACCGGACCTTTCACAGGCTTTCATGATTGACAAGAGATTTATAAAGATCCTCTAATTCGTTACCTGAAGAACTAGACCAGTTTGCTTACACTCTCCGAAAACAAATGCTCTCCTTCACCTGCCTATCTGAACGTACAAGTAGGCGCCGCATCCGTGAAGTCAATCCGTATTTTTTTTTTCCTTTTTGTCTTTTTTCGTGACCGGCAACGGATCGCAACCCTCAGTGTCGCGCCTGTACCGGACCGGGACCAGCAACGGGATCGCAACCCTCGGTGTTGCTCCCGCACCTCGCTCAGCCAGTGAGCGGCTCTAGCCAGTGAGGCGGCCGGTCTGTATGTGGCATCCGAACCCTCGGCAGGAGCGCTGCCGCGCTTCCCAAGCGGAGCACTGTAGCAGTGCGCCACCAGACCGGCCCCAATCCGTATTATTTGTACTGCACATTTGGTGTTTTTGTTTGTTTGTTTGCTTTCGGTGGCTGGCTGGTACTGGGCCCGTTTGATATTTACAGTGCCATGTATTGCTTTGCATACTGGTGGCTGGGTAATGTTAAACAACTATATCTTTTTAAAAATAGAAGTCTGCATGTATTCCTATTTTGTTGTTGGTATGAGGGTTTTATAAATCTCCTGGTTAGAGAAATAGTTCTGTAGCCTACGAGACAGTGGGGTATAAGGGTTAATGGGCTTTGGAGGCAGAATTTTGCTTTGAAGTCTTGTTTCTTCTATCCTCAGTCTCCTCTTCTCTATAACAGGGTTATCATAACCAAGGGCACTGTGAGTAATGTATATAAAAGTCTTAACAAAATGCCTAGCGTTAGTTCCATTCCCTTTTGTATCTTACTTCACTTGTTACTGGTCTTATTAATTAGTAGGTAACAACTCTTTCCAAAATAACTTGATTGTGAACTGTAAAATATTAGTAAAACTGAACTGTGAACTGTGAACTGTAAAACTAATATTAGCCACTAATATTAGTTTTTCATGGAAAAGTATAGTGCTGTCTGTGTAAGCTATTGGATTAAGAGGAAAGTGAAGAAGATACTACCGACTTGGATTTTGGTTTCGAATATTATTTGAACGGTCCTGACTTTCTAGTCAGTCTAACAGTCCTGACTTTCTAGTCTGTTGATTCATTATTTTAATGGAAATTTTTCTAAACACATTTGTGAAGGCATTTAATTCCTAAATAAATGTTAGCTATGTACTTATAGTGTTTGGATTCCCTGTGGGACTGAGCCAAGTCTCCACTTCCCTGTTTATTTTGAGGTTACTGTTACTTTATCTGCCCCTTGGCAAAAGAGATGACGAGTTAGTTAATGACTCACTCCCAAGGCTGTGTTTCACATTTTGCAGAAGGAAGCAAAGGAGGGTTAAAACGCAGTTACATTGTGAAAAATATTCATTGCATTGTGGCTTTGTTTTTGGTTCATGATACTCTGACAGTGTTTTGTTTTTTTTTAAAAGCTAATTGGCATAACACCCAGAACCTGCCTTTGGAAGCAAAGATTAGAACACTGGCTTCTCTCAGAACCCTGTGTCCTTAAGTTTTGTATATCATGTTTAGTCTGAATGTGCTACTACCATTTTCTCTTAAGTTTTTTGCTTTCAAAAGAAACTTTTTATGAAGTACAAGCTAAATCTTTCTCACTGAGTATTTATATATAGGAGGGGTCTTCAAAAAGTTCATGGAAAGATTAATATCATCTTTTAATTCTATTTTTCCATGAACTTTTTGAAGTACCCTCCTCTGTGTGTGTGTGTGTAGATACACATAAAGAGAAGAGAGTAAGAAATTAATTTTATTAAACATATATGCCTGGTACTTTATGTATGTTATTTCATTCAATATGAATGACTGTCCTATGCGCTTTTTAAGAAGTTTTCACTCTATAGTGTTCCACAGTTAGGAATGTATTTCTGGCCTGGGTTGGGTGTTCTGGGTACTAATATAAATCAGGAATGTTGTCAGGGGTATTTGTATCAGCAAAGCCCTTTTAATGAAGTCCTCTTCAACTCTAATTTGGAAATGGATTTGTAAATATTAACATGTTTTCAATTCCTTAATATTCCGTGGGTGTAAATTAAATGCTATTATATATTTTGTGCCATGCTAGTATCATTACATAAAATCTGGGTAAAAGTATTTGGTTTGCTATAAAATTATGTGATCTTAATACCTTACAAGATGCAATACATAGTAATATAAGTTTTAGATAAAATTAATTATTGCCTTATATTTAAGACATTGAGATTTGGTTTAAAGTAGGTGTTTAATCACGATGCAGATAAAAACCAGGTATTGAAGGCTTGAAGATTGTTAAAGGTTTAAAATTTGATTTTAACTAGCAGTGGCCTTGAGAATTAATTCTATCTGACCATACAAGATATCCAGTACCTTGATGTTATCCCTGAGAATCAAATACGCACTGTAGGGGGAAATTGTTGTTTCATTGGTCTTGAGGTTGGAGCAGTCCTCATTTGACACTAAAGACAGAAATCTGAAGGGAAAGAGTTGTTTTCGTGGCATTTTTTTAATTAAGGAAGAGATGCTTACTTTACTTTAAAGGAATGGGTACTTTATTGTAAAGACTTGTGGAAATAAGAAAAGTAGGAATCTTCTGCATTTGAGCTTCATGGAACCTAGGAAGAGCTGCATAATGGGTTCTTGTTGGAAGGAGACAGGCTTTCAGAAACATGAACAGGTTTTGGGAACTGGAGGTTCTTCTAGATCCTGAGTTTTCTCCTTGTCCCGTGCCCAGTGGCTGTTTTCTGATCCCTTGCCCTGATTGTCTCCCACTGATAATGACTGCTATTCTCTTTGACTCTGCTTTCTGTGACTTCTGCTGCTGCTTTCATCCACAGGTCCTCTGTGGTTCCCTTTGAACTCCCTTGGGGAGAAGCTCTCACTGGTCCTGTTAACTCCCTCTGCTCCTGTTGGGTTAAGCTTTTGCACAACTGGACCTCTGGCCATCCTAGAAATTGTTGCCCTTGGCGTCAGATACTCACTCCGGGTCTGTCAGCTGTGGATGGGGCAGTGCGGTCCTAGGGTAGAGCAACTGCCACCTATGAGAACGAACCCACTTGGGCCCCTTCGCTCCCCCTATTCCTACCAGAAAAGTCTTCCCCACAGGGAGATGTGGGGAGTTGTAGACATTTTGAGGTTTGACCTGTCTAGTATATTGTTTATTGGTTTAACAATATACATAATTTATATATTTAAAAGCACCATAAAAATTAAAAGCCAATCGACTGGGAAATTATTTGAAACATATAACTGGATGCTAACACCATGGGCAAAACACAAACTATATTTGGCATATAAGCACATAGCAAAAATTTTAACCTCATAGTGGTAAAAGTCAAGGAAGTTCAAGTCAAAACAATTAAAACTTTTTTTTTTTTTTTTTTTTTTTGGCCTATCAATTTAGCAATGATCAGGAAGCAGGATCATGTAGCAATTAAGAGCTCAGACTCTGATATGGGACCCAGCTTGGCCAAGTACTAATTGTTAGTCACTTAAACTCTGAGCTTCAGATTAATGGTAGTAACGATTCCAGTCAAATTTATCCCCCTAAACATATAGCTGGACACAAATTTACCTCTTTGAATCTGTCCTTCTGAGATCAGCTCCCCCTCAGATTAGTCACTATATATTTTAATCTAAGCTTTAACTTTTTGGTATTTAATAACAACTTTTTTATAGTCTGAGCTTTACTTTTTACAAAAATTCAAGCTATGTTGGTTTTGTGACTCTGTTGCCTTCTGCAGAAATGAAGCGGTTGTCATTTCTGGAAGGAAACTGGCCCAGCAGATCAAGCAGGAAGTGCGGCAGGAGGTGGAAGAGTGGGTGGCCTCGGGCAACAAGCAGCCACACCTGAGCGTGGTTCTGGTTGGGGAGAATCCTGCAAGTCACTCCTATGTCCTCAACAAAACCAGGGCAGCTGCAGATGTGGGTATGTGTCACTCTCAGGCCCTGACTGCTGTTAGATTGGGGTTTATTCAAGGCACACTCCATTTTGATTTGTGATTCCTTTCTCCGATTAGAAAATCCAAGCAGAGGAGGCTAATGTGGGACTCAGGCTATATCTATTGGGGAGGCTTATAGACTAGGACAGGACGTGATTGGTATTCGATGTGATTGGTATTCTTGGTGTCCTCTGGACTATAAGATCAATTCTGTTCTTAGTCTTGACATTTGGCAGGTGACCTTGAACACGTTTTACATTTGCTTCCTTTGAGCGATAATGAGAGTCTCTAACCGAGGCGTTTGGGTGTTTGCAGTTTCAAGCTGTATGGTGTTAGTGGGAAAGATTGAGCAATCAGTGATATAGCCAAGACCACAGTCATAGATATGAAGGAAATGACTCTGACTTCTGGGAGACAGCTTTCAAATTTCTTCACCAATTGGTTTCAAAGCCAATCATTTAGTCTAAAAGCAGTTTGGGTCTGCGTGATGAAGGTTTGTGTTGTAGATCTCTCGGTACCGCAGAGTCCTGTGTGATTGTAGACAAGAGGAGGGTGGGCCCAGGTATACCTTTGCGCGCTCATCTGTGGACCAGTGGTCTGAGTGCAGGAGCCCTTCCCTTCTGAAGGGCTGTGAAACCTCTGTGGTGGCTGGGCCGAGTTACTGGCCCTTGAGCCCTTGGTACACTCCAGTCTGTATCACTGAGGACAGGGGCCTCCTGCCTGTTTAATTGAAAGCCTTTAGTAAAAACCTCTAGAAAATAGCAAGCCGTGACTTTTAAAGACATCGTGAGGTAGCATGGTGCAGTGCACAGAACATGACCTTTGGAACCAGAAAGACTGGCTGTGTTGCTAGCAGTCTTGGTTTCTAATCTCTGTGAGCCTCAGTGTCCTTGTCTGTCAATGCTGATGAGGATCACACAGAATAATGTGTAGGAAGTATTGAGCTAGTATTCTCTAGTGTGTATATTTGTGAAGTCACTTTTTTAGGTTCCTTGTGAGCCATTTCAGCTTTTAAGCTATGAGGGTGGATGTGACGATCAAAAACCTGTACGGTAGCAGAGCATGGCAACATAGCAGTGCTCATTAAATGCCTCAATATTTTTTTTAACCTTGAAATTGTCTTATAATAGGAATCAACAGTGAGACAATTGTGAAACCAGCTTCAATTTCAGAGGAAGAATTGTTGAACTTAATCAGTAAACTAAATAATGATGATAATGTAGACGGCCTCCTTGTTCAGCTGCCTCTTCCAGGTGAGTTGTGGACTCCACAGTTAAAATGACTTCTGAGGAGTGGAGAGGCTTGGTTGCTTTATACGCTGGCCCTCCATCTGGATTTGACTTAAAGGCGAGGTAGACCCAAAAGAGTGAATATTTTATTAGAAATGGGACAGACCTACCCAGAATACCTTTGGGATTGAGATCTTGGTACAAAGAACAGCGGAGGGAAGTGGATGTAAAAGAGGATATTGGCTTTGATATTGGCATTTGGCTTTGCTTGATGTGAGTTCCTTCCATGCAACATGAAGAAGTAACTGATGGAGGCAAGTTTCAGAAGGGGAATGGATTTGCATGATTAACCAGATAAGCTGGAGTCAAGCACTGCTACCTTCACAACAGTGATTTAAGGCCACTGCTCTGATTTCTTTTTCAGAGCACATTGATGAGAGAAAGATCTGCAATGCTGTTTCTCCAGACAAGGATGTTGATGGCTTTCACGTAATTAACGTAGGGCGAATGTGTTTGGACCAGTATTCCATGTTACCAGCTACCCCATGGGGCGTGTGGGAAATAATTAAGCGAACTGGTAGGTATATCTGTGTTAGTATTATAAAAGTGGTACTTGCAAATGGTAAAAATTCCTATAGTACCATAGAGTGGAAACCCCAACTCCACATCCTCCAGTTCTACTTCCCAGAGTTTACTATGCTTGCCCATGACTGTTTTTGCTATTTATTTCTGTGGGGGCTGGCCAGTACCAGGGATCCGAACTCTTGACCTTGATGTTATATAACACAGCATTCTAACCAGCTGAGCCAAGTGGCCAGCTCTGTTTTTGCTCTTTAATACAGAAACCTCAGTGAAGGGAATTTAAGATTTCATAGCGGTGATAGTGCACATTCAAATAACATTCTGTAGCTTACAGGGTGCTTTCTCCTGTCTCCTGTTTTCTTTTAGCCCTCACTGTGTGTAGCAAGTGATAGCTCTGACTGACTGATGAGGCAATAAGTTTAGTGACTTCCTTCACTATCAAAATTGGCTTCATGTCCTAGGCCTTTTGACTTGCTTCTCCTTTGGTACTCATTCTAAGACAAAATGGCAGTACTCTTAATGAAAATATATATGTTTTTTCAAAGGCATTCCAACCCTAGGGAAGAATGTAGTTGTGGCTGGAAGGTCAAAAAATGTTGGAATGCCCATTGCGATGCTACTACATACAGATGGGGCACACGAACGTCCTGGAGGTAAGGAAATTGCTTTCAGAGCAGCATCCTGTTCTCCATCTTTTGTTTTACTTTGTATTTGCTGTGACTTTTTAAACAGATACTCAGGGAGTAACCCTTGTAGAGAAGCTGTACTCAGTGTCACCAGAGCGTTTATTATGAAAATAGCCTCAGAAATTAAATTTTGAGTATAAGCATAGTTGTAGGCAATTAGAAAATTTTAGTTATGGCTTTGATAGTTGGAGCTAAGAGGCAGTTCTTGTTTGAAGTTAGTATCCTGTTCTGTCCCATTTGGTGGAGAAAAATCTTAGATCATTGCAAAGGACTGAATTGATATGACTGTAATATGTCATGTCAAGTTCTGTTAATTTGTCTCAGAAAACACCTCATGAATCAGTTATCATATGTGATTATTGGAATAATGACCTTACATGATTATATTAGAAATAATGGCAAAACTATAATATTTCCAGATATCTTTCAGCATATTAAAAAAAAAAAAGAGCAGTTCTAGTGGTATTTTGCTTAGAAGAGGTAAAATTCTTGAAAGGCTGTTAAATAGGATAAAGAATAATTTTAATTATTTACGACTCCATAGGGTAAAATTAGGGCCAATGGATAAAGGCTACAAGAAATTGGGTATTAATTTTAAAAAGTAAATGACAATTAGCTGTCCAGAAAATATGGCATAAGCATTAAGTCAGTTATTTTTCAGAGATGTTGAATTTCTGCAATGACTTGACTAGTTGAGATCTAATCCAGAGCTCAGCTTTGACTGAGAAAGCGAGACGTCTATTTTTTTCTGCACAGGTGATGCCACCGTTACAATATCTCATCGGTATACACCCAGAGAGCAGTTGAAGAAACATACAATTCTCGCAGATATTGTAATATCTGCTGCAGGTGAGAAAACACGGGGAGAGGGAAGGAAGGACTACACCTCAGAAGACTGAGGCTGTACCTCTTATCTTAGAATTTGCCTGCCTCAGGGCCGGCCCGGTGGCGCACTGCTACAGTGCGCCACTTGGGAGCGCGGCGGCGCTCCTGCTGAGGGTTCGGATCCCACATACAGACCCGTTCCCGCTCACTGGCTGAGCGAGGTGCGGGCGCAGCACCGAGGTTTGCGATCCCATTGCTGGTCCCGGTCCGGTACGGGCGCGACACTGAGGGTTGCGATCCGTTGCCGGACACGAAAAAAGACAAAAAGGAAAAAAAAAAAAAAAAAGAATTTGCCTGCCTCACTGCCATTACATTCATCATCCCCTAGTAATGGTACTTTGAGCTGCCTTCAAAGATGAGGATAGAGCTGTGGTTGAACTGCTGGTTTCCGGCATCCCGTTACAGGCTGGATGGGTGAATGTTATTCCTAAAGCCTCAAAATATTTCTATTTACTATATGGACTTTATGTGTTTCTTTGGTTAATATTTTTAATAGTTTTCTTTTTTTTTTTTTTTTTTTTTTTTAAAATATGTTAATTCCTTTTTCCAGGGCTCTTGAAATTAAAATTGGCATCCCGTTACAGGCTGGATGGGTGAATGTTATTCCTAAAGCCTCAAAATATTTCTATTTACTATATGGACTTTATGTGTTTCTTTGGTTAATATTTTTAATAGTTTTCTTTTTTTTTTTTTTTTTTTTTTTATAAAATATGTTAATTCCTTCTTCCAGGTCTCTTGAAATTAAAATTAGACAAGAATCTGATGGGTGGAATCTCATTTTCAGTACTAAGTTGATCATTTCAGTCTCCATTTCCAGGCATTCCAAATCTAATCACAGCAGATATGGTCAAGGAAGGAGCAGCAGTCATTGATGTGGGAATAAATAGAGTTCAAGATCCTGTAACTGCTAAACCCAAGTTGGTTGGAGATGTGGATTTTGAAGGTAAATGGTATAATTTTAAAAATATATAAAATCAAATACTATCTGTAGTGGACATTTAGGACAGGTCATTTACTTTTTTTTGGCAGGGGAGCTGGCTGGTATGGGGATCCAAAACCTTGACTTTGGTGTTATAACACTGTGCTATAACCAACTGAGCTAACCAGCCAGCCTCATTTGCTTTTTACCTAATTTATAAATTATGTCGCCTGTAATACTGCTTAAAATGCTTTTCACAAAAATTAAGAGAAATCTTTTAAAGATTATAGCCTTCTAGGTTTATTTTAGGTTTTTCTGTCATAGATTATGGAGAACAGGTATAAACTTTTCAGAGACTTGTTTTTTTCCTTAGACTTATTTCATAATTCGAATAACTTCATGACTTTTAACAGGTCTGAAAATTTCATGAAGTAATTTTCCAAAACCATCAAGTCTTCTAAAAAGCATTACAAATTTCTCATTTTCACATTGAGAAGAGAGATCACAGATCTGAAATGTTAAAAAGGCCCAGGAAAAAGCCATATTCCCAAAATAATGGAATCTGTTGGTAGAGTTCTCCTTTTGGTTAAGATAACATGTTTGTCTGAATTTTATGCTGATAATCCTACTTATAGCTTTCTTTATCAAGTAGAGCAGTCAAACCCAAGCCTAGTATTTTCCCTTTAAGATTGGGTTAAAAAAATTTTTTTTCTCACTTTCCAGAAAATTGCTTTGCTTGGTTCTTGGGCAAAATATATCTAAAATTAAGAAAATGTTATAGGCAGGTATTAAGGTAATGCTTATTATTATTATAGTTATAGATCCCACACAGTTAACCGGCTCAGATGTTTCTTTTTAAATTTGTTTAATACGGAGGAAAAGTAGGGCTGGTAAATTATAGTTATTCAGATTTACGAATATGTATTGAACAACTGCTTACTATGTGCATGTTATTTCATTAGTGTTCAAAACCTTTACAACTGAGCAATTTGATGTGATTGTTAAAATGAGTTTGACGTGTATGAAGGTGCTTCTAATATATTATTTTTTCTCTGCATGCTTTTTTCATAATATGTTAAAATATATACATATCCTTTGCCATAACTGAAGCAGCCTGCCTGTCTTTTTCTATGTAGGAGTCAGGAAAAAAGCCAGTTACATCACTCCAGTTCCTGGAGGTGTTGGTCCCATGACAGTGGCGATGCTTATGAAGAATACCATTATTGCTGCAAAAAAAGTGCTGAGGCCTGAGGAGCGGGAAGTGCTGAAGTCTAAAGAGCTTGGAGTGGCCACTAATTAACTCTTGTGTCTTCTACCACAAACAGAACTCCAAGCCAGTTCAAGAAGCAAAGCAGGCCAATAGAAATGCAATATTTCTAATTTATTCTACTGAAATGGTTTAAAATGATGCGTTGTGTTTATCGACATCTTAAATGGGTGGGTGTTTGCACACATGGCTTTGCAGTACTTCACCAGGGAGCACACCAGTGTCATGCTGGGTCATGTGATCTAGCCAGGAGCAGCCATTGACCTAGTGATTAATGTGGAAGACATTGTCACATTGAGAATGGATGCTTAACCTTTGTCAAGCCACTTCAGTTAAAAATTGGCCTTTTCTAGAATTGCATTTCCTAAGTGCTATTCCAATAAGAGTTGATACTCACTTTAGGTTGCAAACCTCTTGAGTTCAACTGGTCAAACCAAAGGAAAAATGTTGCTAGAGAAAATTAGGGAAAAAGTGAAAAGGAAGAAATGGTGGTAATTGAGTAGAAAAGAATTATCTTAATTTACATACATATTGATTGATAACCAGATTTATCAAAATAGAACTGAATTGGCTAGGAAGAAGAGAAACTACATGTTAATAGGCCGTCTTTTTGTGGCTTAGTCACTGGGAAAATGTTTAGGGTTGTTCCTTCTGTTGGCTCTCATTTCATGTGTTACCCTTCAGCAAGGTCTCCTCATTTTAGTTTTTTAGGATTGAAAGGCTAATTTTATAAATTATTCAATATATTGTCATATTTGGCTTTTGCTATATCTTTAAACTTCATTGTTAAATTTTTGTATTGTTAGGGGGTGTCTGTATGGTCTTTTTGGTATATCTTGAAACCTATTTTTGAAAAACAAAACTTGGGCTTGATAATCATTAGGGCGGCTTGTATAAATATGCAAACAACTTTTCCACCAAAGAATTGTCAGAAGCTGCCTGCTTTTCTCTGATACCCTCTGTTGGCCTTCCCAAAAGATTTATAAGAGATCGAGTAATTGAATTGATTCAGACTCTCTGATTAAAGGTTTTTTTGTTTTTTTGTTTTTTAATAAAATGCATCTGTCTGGTGTGAAATGAGTTTCTGAAATACCATATCTTCCTACTACTGTCTTAGTTGTGACCTAATCAAAATTAACTTATCTTATTGGATGTAATCAATGTATATATACCTATATTTGGTAACACTCAATCCTATATCCTTAAACAAATTGGTTTAGAGAGCTGAGGTGAAACCAGCCTAGTCTTTTTAGTCTTATATCCAAACAGACTGTGCCAAGCCAGGAGCTTAATCTGTGAAATTCATTCAAGTGGTTAGTCTCATTCTGAATGTTCTGTAAACCATGTGTTTAATTTACACATTGCTAGAAAGGATTTCTCCTTGATGTGCTTGCCAAGTTCTCAACATATGTATGAGAGTACTTCAAAAAGCTCAGGAAAGGTTCATTTTATCTTTCAATTCTGCTTTTCCATGAACTTTTCTAAGTACCCTCATGCGCGCGCGCGCGTGTGTGTGTTTAAAGTATTAGTTTGATTTGACAGATTGGAAGGTATTTGCTGTGCATATTCTAAGGTGGGGATAGGTCCTTGTATACTTTGGCTTTCACACAGGGAGAGGTAGCTCCTGCTGCAGACAGCTGAGGCAGAAAGAGAAAGGAGAATAATTGCACCTACTCTCTCCTTATTCCTCTACCAGCTGGCTTTATTCTTTTGACAGTTTTCTGGAGATGAAAGAAGATGGTAGTTTGCTGGAAATGTTTTTGTAAGTGAACTCAGGTCTATAAGCCATGCCTACTGACATACCTAAATTATTAAACATGGAGCAAGATGAGCAGATGGTATTAAGTTTTATTGAATTATAGTTACAAGTGGAAAAAATTACTGACCTACTGCATGGAGAAATAACAATATGTCAGCCTGTTAAAAGCTATTGAAATTAAAATGTTCACGTATATACAAAATATAAATGATGTGTAAGGTAAAAATTACAGTGATCAATTTACAATAACAAAAAAATTAACATCATACTTTTACACCTTGTTTGATTAATCAAGCACATTTACTCCAGAAACCTTAACATTTCTACAATTTAATTTGGACAAAGTTCTATTCCAAATCAGCTAGGCTTTAAAACTGAAATGTTAAGGGTAAATTGTTAGCTCTCCCAGGATTGGTGTAGATGAAGATATAGAATTTATACTTAAGCTCAGGTGATGGTTCTGTATTAGTGAACAGCTAAGTGATTCTGCTGCTATCAGAAGTGGTAGAGGTTTAGGGCTTTACCCCTTGGCAGTATCCCTTAGAAGGGAGCTCAGATTAAATTTAATGAACACTTAGAGCTTTTTATGGACCAGGCATTATGCAAGGTTCTGGGGGTTACAGAGACAATTACCTGTCCTGGTACTCCAGGTGTTAATGATCTAGTGTTATTTGTCTTTTAAAAAACAAACAGAAAAAAAAAAAGAGAAGAAAAAGCACCTGCATTTGTCATCTTGAGTAAATGTAGTAGCTTTAACTAGTGATTTACTCAAGATTCAAATCTATAGTTGTTTTGGAGAAAGTAAATGTCAGAAGCATTGTGGCTATCAGGCACAGAGTAGGTGTTAAATAAACATGGTTGGTGTTCGTTAAATGCAGATTGAAAAAAAAAGTACTAGTATTAAATTTCATAGGGAAGGGGTTTGCCTCATTAAAATTGGTTTTAATCTACCCACACTGCTTCCAATCATTCTTTTAAAGTTCTAATTTGGTTAATATTGCAAAGTTATAATCTTCCAAAATGTGACATTAGCTCTGCCTAACAGAATGGAAGTTTGGCTTTGGGAATCAGCCACTGAAAATTTGCAGGAAGGACTCACCCAAATGCATAAAGAAACTTGATTCCAGGTATGAAAAACCAGTGATATTAATTTAAAGGATCATTTTGTTGGTCTTTCATGTGGTTTGAGATTTTACTTTAATAAGAGCCATTTTATCTGAGAAACATTTATCCACTCAAATGTGTTGGTTCTTTCATTAACAGACTTTTGGAACTGGCTTTTCAATCTGGGAAAGGAGCAAGGCCCGTAATGCAGATGGTTCAAATTTTTCATGTGACCCTTAGAAAACAATGAGATGGAGAGAGAAAATAGGACCTTTACAAGATTTCTTAATATGCAAAATTGCAAAACAAATATCCCAACCTTGGTCTATTGACGTAAGAGTATTTTAATAGTTCTTGCAAGACCACCTAGGTTTAAATCTAACCTTTAAAAAATCTTAACCCACAGTTTTAAATATAAATTGACTATTGCCCCTTTATCTTTGCTATGGTTTTGGGGTGTAAGCATTTTTTTATTTCAAAAGAAATGATATAATTTTTATGCTGGACTGCATTTTAAAATAAGGTGTAACATTTAGCTTTAGGTATTATTTAATAACTGCAAGGACAAGGGGAGAGTTTTGCATCTAAGTAGCACTTTTCATAGACAGATCTCCGGTTTCATAGACAGATCTCTGTCAGGCAGAAGCACTCCCTCTGGTAAATAAGGAAGCAGCACAGAGAAGTTAAGGATTTGACCCAGACTCACAATTAAGACTAAACCAAATCCTCCCTCTATGCCTGGGCTAGGAGAGGCTGTGTCGTCCTAGAGTGTGGTCTCGCCGTCAGCCTCTCTTCCGTATTTGTCCAAGTCTGTGAAGTCATAGTCCGACTCCATCTCTATCTTCACCTGTGGCACCATGAAGACTGGGCTCCGAGAGTAGTTGAAAGCAGGTGAAGTGGGACAGGAAATTTTGAAGTGCAAGGTGATGCTGAACAAGAAGTAGGAAGGAAAAATGATTTACCTAGTTTTTGGTGTTTTTAACAGTATCCCCCAGAGCAGGGCTCTACTGCAGACAGTTCTGTCTTGGCTTCTTACCACATCACTGGAATGGGAACCAGCAGTAGCCTATCTATTTGGCCATCAGCCATAGCCATTTAACTGGTCTCGCCTGTTTCGACCTGTTCTTCACACTGCTGCCAAAGTGAACTTTGTAAATCACAAATCTTACCGTGGTTCCACTGTCTAAATTTCTCCATGGTTTTCTGCCGTTCAAAGGACAGAATCTAGCTCCTTCGCATAGCAAGACAGGGCCTTCTATGCTTAACACTCCTGCCTGCTGGCCTAGTGTGACTGCCCTGTCCATCCCAGTATGCTTTGCTCTTTGCCCTGTGTGTTTGTGTTCTCAGGCCTGTGCCCACTGCCTGAAATGCCCTTTTCTCCTTTGCTCTGTGCTGCCCCACCCTAGACATCTGGCAGATTCCCATTTATGGTCCAGATAACGGTAGTCCCTCCCTTTGACAACTGTCCTTTCTCTTCCGTGTGTTCCATTACTGTTCTTGCACATGGTGCCCATGTCTTTGTTTACATGGCTTTCATACTCTCAGGGATTAAGGATCAAACCTGGTAGATCACTGATGCTCAATATTTGTTAAACTAGATTATGTTGCTCAGCCTTTTCCTTAACTGAAATGGAATCCTGCTATTTAGTGGTCTTTGTTTCCATCTATTTTCATAGACTCAGTAAAACACCAGTGTAGTTGGGAAATTACCAAATTTTCTGCTTTTCTCCAGTTACCAAATTTTCTGCATTTCTGATCTTGTCTAACAGCTTCATGTAATTTAACAGGTTTGGAAACCCCTATCCTGGTCCATATTGGGGCAATTAGAGATTTGATTTACTGTAGACTTTTCTTGAATGAAAATAAAAGGGTAAACAGACTGCTTTCCTCCTAACACATGTGTCTATAAAGATCAGTGGCATTAGGGGCATAGAAGCCCTGACTGGGGAGGTGGGACGACAAAAAAGGCAGAGGGTTAATTTGGATATGTGACTCTTCTGAGGTCACTGTCCTTGGGCCTGCTGCTTAGGGAGGGCTGAACTCTGGTGATAAGTCTGTCTTCTCTTCCTGGCAGTGTGATAACAGCTTTGTCTCAATTCAGAAGAACCTGTATATGTTTCCCAAAAAACTCTTGTGTGAGTGCCGTCTAAGTCTGGAGATTTATCTGCCTCTAGACTTGGGATAGCCTGTGCTGTTACTAAAGTTTGTCTAGTTCAGAGTGATTCCTGTTCATTCTGGGGCATGGGGTAGGGTGGGACTGGCCCTACCATCTTCCCTACGGAAAAGTGAGGCAAAGATGTTCTTGTCTCTGAGTTCCTCTTTTCCGTTTCTGAGCCCACTTTGTGTGTAATTATCAAGTCCCACTTTTCTCATGGGGGGCTCTTAAGAACACCAAGGATCATACTGTTGGCATGGGGGCTTCTGGTGAGTGGGCCTTGAATCCTTTCTTGACTATTCCTATCTCTGCTTAATCTTGATATTTAGTTAGCTTTCCTTGATACCCTTCCTGATCTTTGCTAATTTACTCTGCTGTTATTTTATTCCATAGAGTATTAGAATACTTGGTGTTTTGATCCTTAGCATTCATTTTTCCTGGTTTTCAATGATACATACTTAAGCCATGTCTTGTGTTCCTCTGTTGTTTTCTTTTTTTCAATATTTGCTTTCGATTTTCGTTCTAATCCCTTGCAATAATTTCCTTTCCTAAAGTTGAATACCTTTGTGTGTTATAACCACATTGTTATGTCAGTGAAAGGACACATTTGTTACTTGACGCTCAATAGTCAGGTCCCTCAGCCTTTGTCTCCCTGTGGCTTCTATTGAGACATCAGCTAGCCTGGGAAATCCTAGTCCCTCAACCTTCCCAGCCTTTGCTTGGTCTCTTATCTAATCCCCAAGGAGTCTACCTAATGGCTTTTACCTTCGATCGAGTTCTGAGTCACTGAAGGAAGAATCAGAGTGAGTAACTCCAACTGGAAGATCTTTTTCCTGGCAGGAAAATTAAAAGGTCAGATGTGGAGCAGGTTTGAGAACTCACTGGAGAACATCCTGTTTCTCCAGTGCTTCCCCACCATTTCTTTTCTATTCCCCAACTCTATGGCCAACACTACACGAGGAGAACTGGGGCCTCACAGAGATGGGTGGCCTCTGACTCAGTTATTCCTTCACAGAGATGGCTTTTAGCTGGATTAGGAGGGTGTGAGGCACAGGGAAGAGACAGAAAGAAT